CAGGACCCTGAGATCATGACCTGAGCTGAAGGCCGAGGCTTTAACAACCACTGAGCCACCCAGGTGCCCTGCGTTTTTCATTTTTAAAGGAATGTCCATACTGCTTCCTACAGTGGTTGTACCATTTTACCTTTCCACCAGCGGAACTCCAAAAGGGTTCCAATTTCTTCACATTCTCACCAACGCTTGCGTTTTTGGTTTTGTTTTTGTTCTTTGATGACAGCCATCTTAGTGGGTGTGAGATGCTGTGTCATTGTGGTTTTGGTTTGCATTTCCCTAATGATTAGTGTTATTGAGGTAGTGGTCAGAATTAAGCTTGTGCTTGCAGCTAAATTTAGTTTAGGAAAGAAAAATATAAGAAAGTCTGTCTTAGCATTTAAAAACCAAATCCAATTGTTTTTGATTATAGGGCCATAATTTTTCATATTCAGTGCTTTGGGGGAAAGCCTTTTCTTCAAACAATTCCTCTAATCAAAGTTGAAAACATTTTACATCCTCTGTGGTGCCTCAGATTCATAAAAATCAACATTAAGTTGATCAGTTAAATCAACATAAGTTGATCAGTTAAACAGCTAAAAATGGCAATATCACTCTTGTCCAGTGATGGGCCAGACTAATTTTCAAGGGAGTTACATTGCTGATGACCAGGGCACCATCCAGAAACCTGGGGAAAATTTCTCGTGGTACAACCCAGCTGACTGATACTAGCTTCTCCATTTGTAAGAACAGTAGGCATAATGCTCTGCAGGAGTGTTTTATTAATTGAAAAGAAAAGAAAACCAACATGTGTCAGAAAACTTATAGTCACCCAAAACCTGGCAATAACTTACATTTTCTGGTATACTTAAAATTTTTGTGAAAAGTTCAGTTATGTACTCCACATCTCTGGCAGGAGTAGTAGCTCTGACCAAATCTCCTCAGAAGTGGCACTGTGGGAATTCTTTGGGCATTTCATTCCATTCCTGCTGAGTCTAGGCCCAATTCATTCATTCATTCATTCATTCATTCAGCAGATATTCCATAAGCACTTAGTGTGCTACCCATTGGGCTAGGCTCTGGGGATAATGCCATGGAGGACACATTGAGATGAGATAGTAGGTAGCCTCGTTGGTGGGGCTACCTTTAGATGACAGGGGAGTGTCTTCCTTGGCTAGATGCAGGACACTCAAGGACACTCAAACCCTCCTCTGTCTCCTTGGATACAGAAAACAAACTTTCATATAAAAGATAGCCTCCCTATATTAAGTAGTAAAAAGACATCCTTATCACCAGAGATACTGATTTTAAAGTAAAAAAAGCTGCAGAAATAAATCCTATTACTTACTGGTCTACTACTTCAGCCCAAACATCTATTTCCTTATCCTGTGAATTCCTCAACAATTTATCATCTCTGTCTAAGACGTATACAAACTCCCTGCTTTGGTCACTTATTTATGTCTCAATTTTATAAGCAGGTCTCCGTGCACACATAATAAAACTTGGTGGTTGTAGTTGTTGTTCCTCCTGCTAACTCGTCTCATGTAAATTTAATTCTTAGTTCAGCTGGAAGACCTTGAGGGTAGAGAAAATGTTTTCCTTCTCTTCACAATGATAGTTTCTTCTGAGTGGAATGTAATTTAGGTTGCTCGTTAGTAGGAAGTATATACTGTTTATGCGTGAGGAGAGAGGAAGAGGTGCTGTCTGGGCTCAGCCTGAGGTAGAGGATAGGGAAGAGCATTGATCAATATATGTCCATAGGAGACAGTCACATATTCATCACAAGGCCAAATGATTAAAGAAAGATTTGAATCAATGTGGTTATGTTTTGAAATGTGGTGGTGTAGGAGCACCTGAGTGGCTCAGTGGGTTGGGGTCTCTGCCTTCAGCTTGGGTCATGATCCCAGGGTCCTGGGATCCAGCCCTGCATCAGGCTCTTTGCTTGGTGGGGAACCTGCTTCTCCCTTTTCTTTCTCTGTCTGCCTCTCTGCCCACTTGTGATCTCTGTCTGTCAAATAAATAAATAAAATCTTAAAAAAAAAAAAAAAGAAATGTGGTGGTGTAAATGCATTCCTTATAAACCTTCATAAATTAGTTTTCAAGAAATTACTGAACACCTACTCTTTGCTCAGTGCTATGCTAGTATAATGGGGATGTAAAAGAAATGGACTATGTGGTGCTTGACTTCATGAAGGGCATACCTTCTTCCATCCCACATAGAGCACAGAACACTGCCTATGTTGCTAGACTTGTAACTACTGGACTGGAATCCCTGGAATTCCTTCTGTGGGATGATCACTCCTGCCTGTTACCCTAGCCTAATCAGACTGCAACTGCTGGGGACAAAGCTACAGCAAGATGAATGTTAGGGTAACTGGCTCCTTGTAATGAGGAAGGCTACATACCAGAGGAACCCTGAAATGTCTCATCAATTAGAGAGATGGAAGGTTATTGTAAGATTTGAGGAAGGGTAGAGGTGAAATTTACATAAAACGGTATTTTGGTAGGCTCAACGGCAGAAAAGGGCTGTGTGTAAAGGGGTCAACATCAGGTTGTGTGGAGGCTGAGAAAAATCAAGGCCATCTCACCTCAGGTTTAGCCTTAGCATAAGTACAGCCATCTTAGCTCAGGCAGCCATCTCAGACCCCTGTGCCCAAGGGCTGAACTTTCCCCTACTTTGCTTTAGTTCCAGAGACCCCCACCCTGCTTTGGTTCCAGGAATCCCCACCCTGCTTTAGTATCAGGAACCCAAAAATACCCCTGCCTTAACTAAGCTCGGAGTCCAAGTCCCTACTCCGCTGCGTCAGGTATACTTGGGCCCAAGCTTAAGCATGTCACCTCGGGGTCCAAGTCCCTACTCCACTGTGCCGGGTATACTTGGGTCCAAGCTTAAGCTTGTCAAATAAACCCTCGTGTGATTGCAATGGTGCTTGGCTCCTTGGTGGTCTCTCAGACGTGAAAACTCGGGCATAACAGTTGGACTGCAAAGTGGACCCAGGGGCCTATTCCTTGGAATTGATAAAGTCAAGATAGATATGGAATGTATTCAGAAATCCCTCATCTGAAGCTTTTTTTAGGTAGGTTGGAAATAAAGCCTGCTTCTTTGTTTGAAATGGACTTAGATCATGTCCAATAGGAAGAACAGGACGTCTCGTTCTTATCAATATGATATTAAACAGCAACTTCTCTGACAGTTATGATTTTAGAGAAAAAAGATTCTAAGTAAGAAAGCAGTGGTCAAAGAGATTGTGATACTTCACAGCTGCAGCCTGACCATGAGAGAAATACTCTTTCCTTCATCTCTGCAGCTGGTTTGTATCTGTCTCTTATTGGGGTCTGTTATTTGTTTAAAAAAAAAACCCAAAAAACAAAAAACAAAAAAACAAGGTAACAGGTCCGAAATGGAGTTGCTTATGTTAAGCCCCACGTCATCAAGCTGAGACTTAGTGTAGAGGCCAAGGACAGGACACCTCAAGATGGGCCACTTTGGTATGAAAATTATTTTGACTTGAAAACAATCCACACACAGCCAATTGAGAAAAAGCTTTTCACTTCCCCCTCAACTGCCAGCTTTACCAGCAAGAGAGCTACTAATAGAGATTCTTCTTTAAGAAACTTATCTGCATAATATGGCACTTTGTTTTCCGAAACATCTCCTTTCACCTTCCTACTAGTGGTCTCTCTCCCTTTGTATCCTCAGACCCCTACCCCTGTCCTTAGCTCATATAAGCATCATGTTGCCTGACTTTGGAATTTCCATGTCTGTGTGGATTCTCCATATGCATGCGATTAAATTTGATTTTGATTCCCCGTACATGTGGTCCTAAATCTGATTTTCTCCTATTAATCTGTCTCACATCAATTTGATTTTAAGTTTGTCTAGAAGGACCTCCCTAATTCTTCTTCCCCATTAGTTTCTTCCGTCCTAGATATGGCATCTTAAACCAGCAACCAGGAATCACCTGGTCAGCACTAGTCAGGTATTGTACCATCCCGGAAAGGAAAGTGATTTTGCAATAACAAACCCACTTTTTTTTTGCTAGTATAACTTTCTTCTTCCTGCTCCCTTCTAGCCAGAAAAGTCTATCATTTTGCATAGCTCCTCAGAGCGCCTTTCAATCTGCTAGATTGGATGCTGCCAGATTCAAATTGATTTTTGCTCAAAGAAACTCTTCATTTTTAAAAATATGCTTTAATTTGTCTTTTAACCTATCCCAGCGTAGTCTGATTTTTATTTTTTCAAAGGGATTTGATAGTTTGCTTTCTCCTTAGTTGTCAATTCACCACACAATGCAGGCTCCTAAGCTGTGTTAACTTGGTCATCAACTCTGGAAAATGACAAACATTGGTCAATGCATATCCTCCCATAAAGGTGGAGCCACCTAAATCCAGAAATTCAGGCCTTCTTCAGCTAGGTCCCCCTCCTCCCTCCACACACTCACACCTTTTTTCCCTCTCCAGCTCCCAGGTATCCCGAGGGCAGCAAAGGAGTAAGAAGCAAAGAAGCGGTTAACGTGCTTCTGGCTTTAAATCAATTCCACAGAGCGTCGGGGGTGCTAGGACAGCTCTGGCTCGGGTGAAAGGGGGCACGGTGCGTAGGCTGATCAGTTCAGACGCCGTACCTGCGCCCTCACTACAAGAAGACCAGAGGTGTATGGGGTGGGTGAGAAGTCACGCCGCTAACCGGAGTCTCAGGGACACATTCCCTACCCCCGCCAGCCGTTCGCGTCCCGCTGGGCGAGCCCCACCCCTCTAATTTCCCTTAGGCCCTGGCTCCGCCCCCAACAGGCCCGGAATTTCTTCGGCCCCGCCCCCGACCGGTTCCGAGCCTGTTTCCTGGCCCCGCCTCCCGGCGTCCTCTCGTCTCCGCCCCCAGGCCTGAGGTTGGCTCCCGGCCCCGCCCGGGCATGGCGCCCGAAGCCCGCTGCTGGAGCGACCGGCTCTCCAGCCCGGCCGGCTGGGGGCGGAGCCCGGTGTGCAGCGGCGAGGACGCCAGCGGCGGGAGGTGGAGCCTCTGCCCGGAAGCCGGCGATCTGCGGCCATGGCAGTGCCGGCGTGCGGCTTCTCGATGCTCGGTGGCCGGCTTGGCCGCGTGCGGGCGCAGGGCGGGAGCGCGGTGCTGCCGGGGCTTCCGGGAGCAGCCAGGCGCGTGTTCCGGGGCTTTCGGAGCAGCGGCGTGAGGTACGGGCGCCCGGGACGTTCACTGCCCTCGGGTGTGGTTGCGGGCGCGTGCGAAGCCGCCGGCTGCGGGCGGGTTGGCGGGGCGTGGGCCGCGGGCGCCCGCCAGGCTCTCTCGCGTCGGGCCCGAGGCTAGGCGGCCGGCGGGGCGGGGGGCGAGGCCTGCATAGGTTCCGGACTTGGCCTTGAGGGCCTTGCGGGCGGGTCGCGTCGACCTCAGTCGGGCAGCTGGGACGCGGTCGGCTTTGAGCCGAGGCGCCAGAATATTCCCACTTCGCCGGAGGCGCAGTGAGTGCTTTAGCGGGACGGTCGCGGCCCGGGAGAGACGCCGTGGAAACAGGTGGTCCGGTTTCGGGCAGCTGCCTCCGTTTGGGTTACGGTTTGTTTCCTAAGCAAAGGAGCGAGCGTGGTCCCGATGGTTCACGAGTGTTCGAGTTCCTGAGTTCCTTTGTTGATTCTGGGGTCTTTTCTAACTCTAAAATTCGTGATGATTTCACAAATTCAGATGCTGATCTTTTTAGGTTTTTTTCTGTATGGCGTTTCCAAAACCTCTTCAGTCTAAGATTGGAATAGTCAATCCTAGAGTCGTTGCATGTCTTTGGACCCTGTTGCTGGCCAGTGCACTGCACGGACAGAACGGGGTATGGTTTCACTCTTCCGCACGGCGGTGGCCCCGAGCTCTTCGCCTTTCCGCCTTCTGCTCGTTGGAGTTGCAGACTCAGACTGGAACATCTAAAAATACATTCCCTTGACCCAGAGTCAGCGAGTCCAGAAGAGATGCTGTTTTCAGACTCTCTGGGCTTCCAGTAACACGTGTTCACTGCAGTTCTGCGCGCTCAGAGATTGTGTCTCTTTCATCTTTTTGTATCTCCAGTGACCAGCGCAGTTCCTGGAAGAAAGTAATAATCAGTAATGTGGAAACGTGGCTGCTGCTTATTTAATTTAAATTGATTAGCTCCCATTTTATACACGTTTAGTTCTCAGACTTGAGTGACTAAAATAAGAAAATATATTATTCCCAGTAGTTTCTGTTGATTTGGTCTTCCACGAGGATATAACTGATTCTGAGTTCTGCTGAATGACTCTCCGGTGTCTGAAAGAATTTGCCGGTTGGTTTGGAACTGTACTACCTAGGAAAAGCAGATTCTGTAGATTCTGTTTGAATTGCAGAATTAAAGGTATTATAGTATATAATATACTATATAATAGTATATAATAGTATATTGTATTATAGTATATACTATATAATATATAATAGTATATTATATAATAGTATATAACTATAATATAATATATAGTATATAGTACGTACTATATACTATATATAATATAGTATATAATAATAATAGTATATAATAGGGACTATAGTATAGTCACTTTTTTTTTTAAGGAAGAATTTCTTTCTTTCTTTCTTTTTTTTTTAAGAGTATTTGATAGAGAATACAGCACCAGGCAGAGGGAGAAGGAGAGGCAGGCTTCCTGCTGAGCAGAGAATCACTCTTATTTTTTCAATTTCAGTTGTTTTAAGGCTTCTTTTCAGAGTGAGGATAACCTTTTCCAGATTGTATAAATTGATGAATTTCCCTTTGTCATCTTGATCTAAAGAACCCATCACCCATCCTCTCCATGTACATTGAATGGGGAGTCCAACAGTTACAACCCAAACATTTCCTGGAAGCCACTTGCTTCATACACATGTGCAGGAGCAAAGGGATAATTCAGATCTTTTAAATTGTATTAATGGTCTCTTTATAATTTAAAATAGTTGAATGCAACAATTGGAAAGCTATTTTTTTTAAAAAGATTTTATTTATTTATTTGTCAGAGAAAGAAGGAAGGAGGAGGCGAGACAGGGGAAGGGGAAACACACTCCCCATCCAGCTGGGAGCTATGCAAGGGACTCCATCCCAGGACCCTGGGGTTATGACCTGAGCCAAAGTGAGCCACCCAGGGTTCCCTGGAAAGCTGGGCTTAGTATAAAGAAGTATTACTTCCAACTCAGCTGCTTTGACCCCCCATTTGATATAGGTTATGACTATAAAAATAAATAATATTTTTTGGTAGTTTTTATTTTCTTAAGGCAGTGCTAATCAAGTTTGGATAGGGTGGTGGTTTTGACATCCTCTTGGCACTGAATACTATATATGAAAGTGAGGTTGGCTGTCAGGTAGAAAAACACCTGTGGACTGTTGGGTCTCTGGTGGGGAGGAATTCGGACAGTGTGTTGATGCTTATTGGTGTCTCTTTTCTCTTCTAGGACCAGCAGAGAGAAGAGATTCCATCTTCCAGAGGTCGCCACTGTCTGCCTCCCCACTTGTCCCCATCCTCAGTCATCTTTTTTAATATGTAGTTACACGTTAGTTGTCTAGTTCTTCATAGTGAATGTGGTTTAATCTGACATCAATCCTATTGATTTGAAATTTGAGCCTTAGTGTTATTTTTATTGAAAATTATCTTTGAGTTTGATAAACTCTTTCCCCAGTATTGACTGTTCTACATTAACAGATTTTTTTTTTAAGATTTTGTTTTTATTTATTTGACAGAGATCACAAGTAGTCAGAGAGGCAGGCAGAGAGAGAGAGAGAGAGAGAGAGGGAAGCAGGCTCCCTGCTGAGCAGAGAGCCCGACGTGGGGCTCGATCCCAGTACCCTGGGATCACGACCTGAGCCGAAGGCAGAGGCTTTAACCCACTGAGCCACACAGGCGCCCTACATTAACAGATTTATTGCCAGTTTCTGAGCTACCTAGAGCCTTAAATGAAAAATGAAAAATAATTTTTTATTATTTTTCATATTTTTGTTTAGATACCTATACCGAGAGAACATACAAGTACTTCTTTAGTGAAGTTTTTTCTTTAATTGGAATTTTAAGAAATAAGCTTTGACAAAATTTGAAAATTACAAAATGTCGAAGTATTTAAGTTTTCTCTCATTTTTAAGATTTACAGTGAATTTCTTATTTCCTCATGAGAAATTAGATCTTATTAATTGGAAGAACATATATTTACTGTCAAAGAAATAAATAAGCCCTTACATTTGTTGCAGCTTATTGTTTCATGAAATAAATGATTTGAACAGCTAAAACATTAAAAATAAAAAAAATTTAGTGATTAAAGTTTTACTATTTTTGCCTTTTTATGTGAGTTTACAAATCAAAATGTCACTAGATTACAAACATCAGTGCATCTTTGGCCCAGTGCTTTCAGGGTACACAGCTAGGGAGCAGCCTTTCCCATTTGAAAGGGAGGTTACGCACCTTGTACATTAATGCCATGGTCAAAGCAGATTTGCAGGTATCCTACAACAGGGACTTTCCAAATGCTGCTTTAGGTCATCCTGCCTGAACTCATTTTCAATAATTAAATGGCTATCCTAAGCATTGGTTCCATGTTTATCCTGTTGGAAAGTGATTCCTAAAGTCATTAATTTGGCAGATCGCTTTTGTCCCCTTCTCCTGCTATGATGCCTTAGTATTTGCAAAATTTTGTGTCCAGCCTACAGCTTTTTTTTTTTTTTTAAGATTTTATTTATTTATTTGACAGACAGAGATCACAAGTAGGCAGAGAGGGAAGCAGAGAGAGGGGGAAGCAGGCGCCCCGCTGAGCAGAGAGCCCGATGCAGGGCTTGATCCCAGGACCCTGAGATCGTGACCTGAGCTGAAGGCAGAGGCTTTAACCCACTGAGACAAACCTCACTTTTCTTTATGTCTCATTGCCAATGGCTTTATAATTTTTGCAGGTAGACCAGCATTAAAAAAAAAAACAAATGTACAATTTTGGAGATATTAAGAGATAATGATTTATCTTAATTAAATATTCATGTGGAGGGAGTCGTTGAATTTTATAATTGAAAAAAGACCAAATTTTATTAGTAAAGCTGTTCATTTTTATTCGGACTCTCCCCTCTAGTACTCATTCAGTATTTCTGACTCTGCAATAGAATTATTTGATGTAAAGATCCTTTTATCCTCATGTGAAGCTTGAAGGATTCAGACTCCAGTTAGGACCATTACTAAAGCTGGTTTTTTATAGACTGATTTCAACCAAGATAAGAGTTAGTTCCAATGAATAGCAAAAGCAGTTTCTCAAAATCATATTTTGTTAGGAAATGTGATAGTTTGGTTTTCCTATCTTAATTCCTTACCTATCTAAGGAGATAGCTGTCTGATTATAATGTTGATTTCTAAGCATTTTTTTTTTTTCTAAAGATTTTATTTATTTGACAGACAGAGATCACAAGTAGTCAGAGTGGGAAGCAGAGAGAGGAGGAAGCAGGCTCCCCGCTGAGCAGAGAGCCTGATGTGGGGCTCGATCCCAGGACCCTGGGATCATGACCAGAGCCGAAAGCAGAGGCTTTAACCCACTGAGCCACCCAGGCGCCCCTCTAAGCAATTCTTAATGTCACTTTAAATTTAGAACCTACATGTTTTACCGTTTAGTATCTATATCTGAGTTTTATGTCTATGTCCCAGCCGTTCAGCGATAATGTGTTCTAATGTAATGTCTTCAAAATAAATTTTGATTAAAATGGGTCAGTAGATGAAAAAGGACTAGTAGTAATCTCAGATCTTGTTACTCAGTCATGATGTTTGGAATAATTAAGCAGTTTCTTTAATGACCTGAATCTTTGTTTTTCAGATGTTATCTTTTCATTTTAAAACCTTGATTGGATGATTAAAAGCAGGAAAAAACAAAAACACTAATAATTTTCCATGGTAACATACTCTCCTAGGATTCTGTGGAGCCCAGTGGTAGATTTTTAAGTAGTTTGGCTTGGAAATGATTAAGTTGTAGAGGGAGGCTTAAGAGCTTGGCACTTTGGAGAAATTTGAACTGTCAATGAGTGGGATAAATTAATGATTAGTGATAAATGAGATTTGCTGTTAGGTGCCATTTGGACCAGATTAAATACTTAAAAGATAGAAAACTTTGGGGCGCCTGGGTGGCTCAGTGGGTTAAGCCTCTGCCTTCAGCTCAGGTCATGATCTCAGGGTCCTGGGATCGAGCCCCACATCAGGCTCTCTGCACAGCAGGGAGCCTGCTTCCCCCTCTCTCTCTGCCTGCTTCTCTGCCGACTTGTGATCTCTCTCTCTCTCTCTGTTGAATGAATCAATAAAATCTTTAAAAAAAAAAAGATAGAAAACTTTGTGGTCAGAATGGAACATATAAACCTAAGTTAGTGTCAAAGAACTCAGGGTTGGGTGTTCTCCAAGAACACTTTTCCAAGCTGCGCCGCTTAACATTACATCATGTCCGTTTTCTATGTTGTTGTTTTTACTAACATTTTGTTGGCTGCGTTCTCTTACATTAAGTCAGTTGGTCATAACTTACGTAACCATCTTGGTATCATTCAGGTCTAGTTCTTAGAACATAGGAAATATTTTACTCTCAGATTCAGGTCATGATTTGTCAACATATCAGCAAGGTTGTTTGTTCACTTAATGATCTGAAAATGATCAATGATCTATGTTGCTTTCTGTAATTACTCACAATAGAAAGTGTACCTAGAACCAAAGACTATCCAGAGGTTCATAATTCTAAAGTTAGGGCATATATAGTTTGAAATAGATGTCCGTCTCTTCTCCTATGATCCTCTTTTGTTTCTTAAATTCCACATATGAGTGAGATCATATTAAACAAGACAAAATCAGAGAGACAAAACATAAGAGATTCTTAATTATAAGAAACAAACAGGATTGCTGGAGGGGAGGGGTGCAGCAGGATTGGGTAACTGGGTGATGGACATTAAGGAGGGCACATGAGGGCACTAGGTATTGTAAAATGTTGATGAATCACCTCTGCCTCTGAAATTAATAATACATTATGCATTAATTAATTGAATTAAAAAAAAGATGTGCCCTCCCTGCTTTGATTATTTATGAGTAATTGCAACAAATATTAATTGCCTTTAATCCAGTTGTGTTGTTGAAAAATAAAATCTTACTAGTATTCAGTGAACCTTCATTCTGCTAAATTCTTTGCTGAGATTTTTTGCATTAGTGTATCATTTTACCCTTAAAACAGCTGAAGTGGACTATTACTATTCCTAATAGATTGGGTGATTGAGGCTTGGAGAAACCAAATAACTTGCCCAGGTTAACAGAAAATAAATGGTGAAGGCAGGATTTGAACCTTAATGATCTACACAGTGCGTTGCTCTATAAGCAGTTTTTAATTATTGATGTATCTCACTATTGTTCCTCTTTTTGAAAACATTGAATCTCGTAGTACTTCTCTGAATCAAGAAAGCTAATTTCGCATATAAATCTTAAAAATTTTCTTGTCAGAGTCCCTTAATGAAGGGTACTTTTTTCTTTTTTTAAAGATTTAATTGATTTATTTGTCAGAACAGGGGTGCACAAGCCGGGGGTGCAGCAGGCAGAAGGGGAGGCAGGCTCCCTGCTGAGCAGGGAGCCCAACATGGGGAGTCTCCTGACCTTGAGATCATGACCTGACCCAAAGGCAGACGCTTAACCCACTTAAATACCCAGGCATCCCATGAAGGTTATTTCTTAACCCGAGACTTTATGAAATGTTTTAGGGGATCCGTTAACTCAGATAGGAGATCACTAATCCCTAAAAAATTTAGCATTTTCTTCAGTTGTAAATGTTGGCAACAAATCACAGTAATTTTAGCAAGTATTTGAGATATTGCCAGTAAAAACCACAGATACTTAAATATGAGTGTTTAGGTAGCTTCCAATGTTCTAATTTATAGGTTAGGGACCTGAAAGAGATAAATTGCAAAATTGAATAACAGAATTATGCAAAATGAGAACTGGGCTTTAGGTTTTGTTTATATTGGTTTACAGAAGTATAATTTCTGATAAAATAACTTTTGAGGTGTTACAGTGTAGTATTTAGGATGGGAAATGAAATGTTTTTAAAATTACATAAACTTGATATTCCTAAGTATTCGTTCACTTTCAAAAAATTTATTTCAAAAGGCTCCCTAGTACTAGTGATTGGTTTTATTCAATATATAATTTTGCCCTGGTTCCCTTGGGTTTCATTTTGTTGTACTAATCAGACTGAAAATCTCTAGGTGAGACTGTGAAATACATGGTGATTAAGCTATGGTATGACCTGCAGAGAAATTTGAATTGCTAATGATTGTATTAGACTTTTTTTTTTAAATCTTTATAGATCATAAAACAATCCATTGCAGCTCTAAAGTTGTGGTTGAAAATAATATTAAAACCTAGATGCAGAAAAAAGAGCCAAGTATATACATTAAATGTACTGCAGAAATTGGGTAGATTTTATTTGTGGTTATTTTACTCTTTTTTATGAAGGAGTATTTTAATACCCAAAAAAAGTAGTTTTTTTTTTTTCCTTCTATTTGCTACTTTAGTTAATTAAATACTACATTTTGTTCTAGTACCCATAGATTAGGATGGTTATGGTTTATTTCCTAGAAAATACAGAGAAATAAACAGGCTCATGCAAACAACACGAAATGATGGCTCGTTGGTGGTTTGTGTATGTCACCATCTGTCACTTAGGAGTGATTTTTACAGATCAGCAAGTGAACATTTAGCC